AAGAACATAACGAGAGACTAGAATTATAATACGATAATATTACAAACTTTGTGTTCACTATGTACTTGTGTCATTTACTATGAATCTCTCCAAATGGATTTAAGTGTCACGCTTTAATGCTGCGAAATATTTATTTAAATATTTGTCCCTTTGAGGATTAAAAAATGCAATAAATTAAAGTAAATTTTTTACATCATGTTTTTGAGACGCAAATTTGATATACTAATTAAAATATAATTTTCAAAGAGCGGAAAATATTGTACGCACTTTAAATGTTCACTGTTATTGTCGGAGATCAGTAGGCAATCTTTGAACGAAATTAGCGACTGATTTTAGGCAGCAACGTGCCTAAAGACACGCAATATTTATTCTGACGATGTTGCCGGGCACTCGATAACTCACGATTAGCGTAACATGCTTGGAACAAGATATCGTCGTCGCACATGGAAGCGTGAAGCAAAAAGTCTAGCTGTTTCGGCGTGAATACGCTCTTAAATCCTCTCTGAGAAACGGCGTGGCAAGATGCGAGCAGCAAAACGAGCAGAAAACTGAAAAAGGTGTACGATGAGAAAGAAAAAGACGGACGCGCGCATCGTGGTTTTTCAATCGGGTTTCGGCGTATCCTTTAATTCGTCGAGGATAAGGCCTCACCCCTTTCACACGCTTGCACACGCACGCAACATGGCGTGTATACACATATGCGCATGATTGCGCGGCGCGCTTTTATACGGTTGCATCTTTTTTTTTCTCGCTTTTTTCTCTCGGCGCGTAAGAGGTTTCGCGCTCGCTCGCGTACGCCCGACAAGTAGACAGGCATCGAATGTTTAATTCAAGATATGCAAGAGAAGACCAGTACGTTGGAATGAGAAAGAGAGAAGTCGTTTGTGCGTGCGTGCGCGAGGACGAGAAAGCGTAGGGTAGCAATTGATGAGACAGGGTGGCGCGTTTGTTGAGCTAATTACTGTAAGACGAGGCGCTTACTTGCGCGGCTACATACAAACGGCATTAAAGGTGGCGGTCATCAATCCCCGGTAGGCCCCTTCGTCTGCTCCGTTTCGCCTCCAAGGGGACACTTCTCCTTATGTCCCTCGTTTCCTCGCGTTCTCTTCAGCCGACGAGATAAAACCGAGAATATATGAATACACCATTCACAGGGCTCTCAATTCAATCCAATCGCTGCAATAAACTCTGCTAAATAACTACTCGATTCGTAATTATAAGTTTGTTCAAAATTGTGGTAGCGTATACTTAATTCTTGGATTAAAAACACAGTATTTTATACGAGGATAGAAATCGGCATAATCAGCATATTTGAATGTGCAAACGTATTAAATCATATAACCATCTGTCATTGTGTAATCGTTGCATCTAATAATAAATTCTTTGTATTTTCCTAAAACTAATCTAACAAAATTCTTTGCATGCTTTATATATTATGTATATTTAAAAAAATCTTATACATTTTATTACACATCTTAATATATTATATGCATATATTTTTTAAACATACTTATTTCTTTGAAATTGGTATAAAACGAACGTGCGTTTTTCGCATGTCTTACGATTGCGGATATCATTAGGAATGATTTATTCGCGACTCGATTATTCGATCGCGAGCAAGTAACTCATCGATATACTTCGCAAAGAGGTCGAAACTAGTGCGTACATCATCGAGTCTGATCCCACGAGGGTGTCTCGTCATTATAAGATCTGTTTCGAATCGGTGCAATGGGGTGCGTCGTGACATAAATAATAGCGGCTGATAATTAAGACGACGATTCGGTGCTGGTGCAGATCCGACACCCGCTGTCTCCTCACGACATGACATTGGGCTTACGCGTGTAGACACGCGAGGCCACGTCCACACCATGCGGAAAGGCAAGATATATCGTCCTGCACGCGCGACCACGATAGAATTCCAGCGATTCTCGCGAGGGTGAGGAGGGCTATGTGTATCGGTAAGAAGGGTCTTTGCTTTGTGTCCGTTCTCTTGTGGGGAAAGAAACGATAGGATGGTAGGAGGGGATAAAAGGAGAGGAAGTAAAAAGGATGCACACGCATACTTACACACACGGGAAACCCGCGCCATGTGCGAGAATTCTGTCGCCGCGATAGAGAAAGTATTGCGCGCGGATTCATCTGGATAAACCGCAGTCGTGATCAATCACTCAGTGATTAACTGCGCTACCTACGGAATCGAACTCGTCCATAATTTATGGCAGTTTTTTTAAATAAGATATATATGTAAGGGACATATCGAGATGTATGGTACAGATGTTCTCTCTTTTTCTCTCTCTTTCGTGTAGAAAGTATGCTTGTTATTAAAATAACGCGCTTGCTACATCTACAAAAATTATTTCTTTTCACAAGCGTATGCATATCTCAAATGATTGACTATAATGCGAGATCATGATGAAAATGCGTTGCTTAACTTACTCATATATATAAGACAGATTCATTTCTTGAACCGAGTATATTTTTTCTTAAATAAAGTATTTTTTGTATTTTTCATTGTTCTTTAACTTGACATTTTTGCTATATGTTTATTTTCTTGTTATGCAGCTATTTATTAAATATTTATATCTAAAACGTACTCACCGTACAGTATAACACGTTGTTTGCAAATATTGCATCTTATAATTAGTTATATGAGAGAATGTTAATTTTATATAACAGAGTACCTCAATTATCATGCAATATTACAAATATAATGTTTAAAGTTTAACACAAATTGCTAAGTCTTAATTATCCAAATCGCGAGCAAAATAGACATAATTACTTTTTCATGCAACATTGATTTAAACACACTTAATTTGACTTTAATATAATTGTCTCTTTTTAAATAAATAAATATACAATACGTCTCAAGTTTGTCCTCTTGAAAATTATTGTGAAATGCGCGGTTTTACCGCCGTCGATATAACTTTTCAAGTCTAATTGAGAAATAAAGTCCGCGAAATTTCGTGAACGCGCCAAAGACAACGTTAGCGAGAATCGTAAAGAGGATGAGCATACTTGGTGTAACCTGAGACTACAGAAGGGGTTGCAGAAACGCGACGAGGACACGTCGGGAAATGAAAACGAGGGGCGTCCTGATGCCAGGACGACGTTCCACCAACCCTACAGAGAACCGGCACATTATATCTTCATTAACACTATACCTAACCGCTCTGTCGCGACTTCCTAGCACTTCGTAGCTCGCGCTAATTTCACGTTACTTCGTCTTTCTATATACATATTGGTTTATTGGTTCTTCAAATTTTGCGAATCGAATATCCTTTTTATATCAATCGCGACAAAACGGTTTTTATAAGGAAGATATCTTTTTTTAAATTTAATAACTCTTCTCAACTTATATTACATTAATTCTGCATAAGAACATTAAAATAATTTTTCACGTTAAAAGTTTACTTGTCAGTGAATAAATGAATTGATAACCTGTAACATATTAAGCAAAAGTTTGCTCGACTATCTTTTCGATTTTTATATTAAGACTCAATACGTATGTACAAGAAAACTTTCCATATATCAGAGGACAAGACAATTCTCCCATACAATCGAGCTGAGCGTCAGTCTTTAGTTTTTATTAAAGTGGACAGTTTTAAAAACCTTTCTTGGTAGGAAGCAGCAGCGCGCGAGAGGAGCCTCCTTAGCATTTAACCGCGACCCTTTATCCGAGTAACGTCCGCGAGTTTCAGGGCCGTGTCGACACCGAGAGGTAGGATCCCCCCGATTGCGGAGGAAATTCCAGGTCCCCGAATCGCCGTAAGATCGGGATACATCGTTATAGGTCTCTCGCTCCCGGGCGGTATCGGGGCCGGTCCAGAAGGAGGACGCGGTCGTAAATATTCGGGCGCCAAATAATGCCGGTTCCGAGCGAGAGCAAGCGACCACGACTGCCGCCCGACCCGTAATGAAGGACATCCTCGTTAATTAGTCAATAAATTATCCTTCACGCTCACGACGCCCGTGGTCGGCCTTTTCATTCGCTCGCCTTCGCTCTCTCGTCCGAGGAGCGCTCGAGAGGGCCGCATACTTTACAACACCTATCTGGCGCGACAGCACGATGCATTTCTCACAATCAGCAGCCCCGAAGACGGAAAACGCGTCTTGTACGACGATCTACGAGGTGGTCCGCCGCGTCCTTCGAATCTTAGCCTTACCTCGTCGAGTCGCGTAGTCACATTTCTTCGAAAGTTTCCTATTGTCTCATTGAAGCTGCTTCTCTCATAACAAGGTAACAATCGATTACAATAAAAACTTTGAAAAATTAGCTAGGCGACAATGATGTTATAAGGAAACCTCAGTCTAATTCTGAGAGTTTAATATACAGAGTATAAACCGCGCTCGCGGTTTATGATACCGATATATATATAACGTATAACTAAAGTAACCACATTTCTCTATTCGAATTCATGTGGTGGGCATAAAGAACATTGGTAAAAGTATCCACGAATGGCATGTAATTACCTTTGAATTCTTATGTGCCAACTGTTGTTGTAAGCGCGCATTTACCCCTCTTCCTCGTAGTAAAAGCACGCACGTGCTGCATCACGCAGGTGGACAACAGCAATCTCGTAATGTCTCGCGTCGCACCGTGCATCGAGCATAAAGATTCGATTCTATACGTGTTCAAGTTATATACTGTGCCACGTGATCGTACATCATTTTAACTACTTCCTCACTCGATACGATTTTACTGGCTCGCGCGACCGCGAAGGACGAGGCTCGTCTTTTGAAAAATCGGCGTAGAAAAACCGATGCAAACACACTGTGCAGCGATATCGATGATATAGTTTGAAAAAAATGAAGTGTCACATCTCAAATTGTGTCAAATTATTTTATTAATAATGAAATTTTATACAATAATCAAAGTAAAAAAGTTTATAAAACATTAATCCGATCTTTTTATATTGTATAATAAAATATATTTTATCATTGTTGGGGCAAAACTCTTAAACCAGAAAATATTTATGAACAGCAAAAAATATATATAAAAATTATTTATATGTTTAATATATTCTTATGTTTTATCAATGAAGCTAGGACCGACTTAATCAAATTATGTATATAAATTAAATAATTGCTATCTTTTTGGTACTTTTTTTTGATTAATTGGATGTATTAGAAACGTTGACGTTGGAATTGACGGAAAAAATTCCGAAGACGTAATTATTTGCATCATTTGATGTCGGAAAGTCCTTTGCGTGAACTTCCAACAAGTGAGCACGAAGTTCTTTGGTAAAATTCGTGCAGAATGGCTTCGACGTCTTTCCTTTGCAAAAATCGCAAGCATAAATTGTCTTACCTGGATGTAAATTTGTTGATAGTATGTGCTTTCGAAGATTTTCCTGCGGACATAACAATTAGCCATATATAAACACAGACAATGAATATTATTAGAATCTATAATAGCGACTGCTATGACAATTGATATAAAAATCTTAGCATCAATATTAATATTCCAATAACATTTATTAGACAAGTCAAGCATGTTTTTACATAGCTTTCATATGTCCAATAAATTCTCCAAAACTATACTGTCGCTATTAAAATGTTATTTAAACTAAAAACACATATAAAGGAATCTTTCACAAGGACTTGACGTAAAAAACAAAATTGCTGCGTTTCGTGCCGAGCTGAATTTTTAATTGAATCAGCTTTCCGTTCGACAGTGGATATCCATTGGTGACTGAGGAGTCTGTTCGCCGCAAAACCGGACGCTCGCGTTTATTGGCTACGCCGTTGGCGCATTTAAAAGCGCTTTATTCTCTCGGTCTAAGTAGCCAGTCGTAGTCGTAAACATCTTCCTACCAGGAGAGCTTATACGAGCCGTTGATGGCAACGGCAACATCAAATTTAATTTCCCATAAGTAAATCTTTTCGCGAGCAACGCACCATGACGTGTGCAAATTAAGCCTCGTTCACACCGCCGTATGGGTGGTCCCGCGGATTTGATGCGACACGAAAAGTTGTGTGTGTTGTTATGAAAATTTAACATGACTATTTGATTAGGCTGACCGATTTGGATTTCCACGAGTTAAGTTTTTTCACACAATAAAGTAGATTATTTTAGCTAGAAAGATGCACATGACTCGTTTTTACGACTGTCATAGATAATAAAAGAATTTAATTAATAATTTTTGAAGCGTCATACAAGATGTTAAAAGTCTTATATACATATATATATATATATATATATATATATATATATATATATATCTAAAGAAAATCATTCTGCAAAATTTCAGTTAGATGTTGACGTTATATATCTTAATAAAAAAATTATTTGTTATTTTTAATTTGTATCGTGAAACTATGAAAATATAAAATTCTTCTTCATTTTATATATAGACTGAAAATGAAAAATATCTGCTAAATGCATTGAGAATCACTGAAATGAGTTTATGTCGCTATCAAAGAGAGACACGAAGACTCGTATGCGAGTCGCATCCCAACTGAAGCTTCAAAGAACATTAGCATACCGGCCGTTCGATATGACTAGCCTGTGCGTGTGTGGGCATCCAGTGAGCACAATTAACTCGTTATCTTATCGCGCCTCGGCGGCAGCAGCGGCGCGGTCCAAACGTTAAGGTGTACTTTGCTTAATTTATCATTGAGAGTCACTGGCAGGACAAAAATTGGTCTACGTCGGGGACACGAGAACAAGTCAACCTCGATGTAAGTTGAAATTTCGATTGACGTCCATAAATATCATATTCGCGGGAAGATATGTTGTATGCGTAGATGAATTGCGCGCGAGGAATTTTTCAAAATCCCATTCCATGCATTGCTGCTATCAAAATTAAATTGAAGAAACGTGTTAAAAAAAACTATTTGTTGAAGAAGCTAGTGTGCACGATTGGGTTTTGAAAAATTTCTCTTGTCAGATGTTTGAAGAAATATATATGACACAAGCGACTTACCAAAGTGTTACTCGCATAGGAACAATGGCGACATTTGTATGGTTTGGAGCCTGTATGCAATCGCATGTGTCTTCGTAAGTGAGAACTGATTTTCGTCTTAAAATTGCAACCGTCGTAAGTGCAAAAGTGAGTTTGAATCTTCTCGGCGTTTGTAGAATCTTGATGCCTCATCCTATGTCTGGAATTAATATAATTACTTTAAATTAAAATAATTATCATTGATAATCGGCAATCGTAAAATCTTCTTGCAAATTCGCGCAATTTTATGAAAGCGATCGTTACACGATCCGTTCTTTCCGTTAATTAGACCCTTTCGGTGTTGAATCCACTGACGCAGGCAATTAAAGCATAATGATAAGGATTTACGTATCCGATATGCACGATTATTACCATTAAATGAAAATTCCCATTGGAATTGAACGGATGCGAAATTTATTGAAGCCAATCGAAGCATTTTATGAAAGTCTGATTAACGCCCAAGCGCTAATACCGGTCAACGCAGCTATTAGCGCCAGATAAACTTTCTATATACCGAGGTAAAGTCGATATATGTACCGTGCATCTAATCTTGAAAATATATCTGTCGGGGCATCATAGCGATGTCACGCATGAAATAATCGTGTTGCCGGAATGCTCGCAATAAAGAAAAGTAAGTATGAGTTTGCCATCGAGAAGAAAATTTTATGAGTAAGGAGATGGAGAACATCTGAAATATTTCTAGTAGCAGGGGCATTTTCAACGTGTTCAAGATTTACAAGAACAAGTCAGTTCTTAATAGTTGTTGATTATGATCCAATCGACATTTACCTAATTGATCTCATTAAAAGACGCAGAATCTGCACTTTGTTTAGCCTGGCTCTTCATTAATCCGTTCCCCCAATTTTTGTAATAACTAATTAAGTCTGCAAATGTATAATTAAAATTAATAGTTATTTCTAATGAATTGCTTAAAATTTGTAGAAAATAATTGGTGCGAGTTTTCGCCATCCTCCTTCGCTCTGGATCCGAAATACCTTGATCGCAGAGCGTGAAGCTTAAACTATACGCATACATTTGTTCGGGATGGAAGACGCGAGATCGCGTCAGAGATATATCCTCCCCTCGCGTAGGGGTGTTCCTCCTCTTCCGTTTTTCGCAAAGTTCATTGTCGCGGGCCGCGGTGATTATGAACGATGCGATATGCGTGCGCGATATTACGGGGCAGCCGCGTTGCTCGGTCGGGCTACGTGTATATCAGGTTTGAGATGCGTGACACGTTTAATTAAAATCCTGCGTGATTTATTCTCGCAGCGAGATCGCGACAGGGAGGAAAGGACTGAGAAAGAGAGAAAGGGAGGGCGACGAATGGACATATATACGCGGAAGAGAAGCGTCGCGTTGCTGGAAGTGAGAGAGTCCGCGCGATATATACTCTGCGGTTGCGTTGAGTTCGACTCACGTAGTAAGTACTCAATTCGCGATGAAATATCGCGGCGACCATCGCCATGCGCGGACGATCATAACGGGTTGCCCGCACTTAGCCGGTTGCTGCACGCAACTTCCGCTTTCGTGGTTCTCCATCTCCATCTTTCTCTCGCCATCAAGACGGCGCCGCGCCGTTCCTCTCGTATCTTCTCACCTCTCTCTCACTCTCTTCTCATCTCATCTCTAGCTCTCGCGACATTTGTATTTTCTCTCTATTCTTCGAAAGCCGTCGTGGAATGAAAAAAAAGCGTCGAAGAAGACAATATTTAGTAGAGACGTTTCGCCCGCTACGTTAGTCTTAATAAGGTTTGACCTTGAATTAATAGCCTTGATTGAATACTGATCGAAAAAAATTTAGAGACTAATCGATGCAAATTTTTATATTTTGATGAATGGCATAGATAAATGGATTATGCTATATTGAACTTTTAGCAAATAGATTCAGTTTATCTAAAATCTCTTAAATCTTTTAACGGTCAAGCGCTGTCATTTAATAACTTTCAGCTTTTATATGTATTTGTCAATATTCCATTTTCTATAAGTTTGCTTTTTACAAAATATCACACATATAGGATCAGCAAAGCTGAGCGGAATGAAAATATCTCATGCGATATCTCTGAATGAATCATTGAACAGTGAATTAATTGAAATACACCGAGCGTCGCGCGAGCGTCCAATTGTGAATCTTAAAATAACTGGAGGGAATAAATCTAAGAGATAAAATAAAAGACGGCAGGGTAAAATGAGCGAGTATCGAGTAGGCCACATTCCCCGCGCGCGCACAGAGATGTATAATCGGATTTTCGATAAATTACTCTTTAAATTATATCCTCCCCGTTGTCTCTATCAATAATCCACGAAGATTGATTCTTTCGCTGTCCGCGTCCTCGTAATTACGTATGCGTAACGGCGCGCGACGCGAGTACTTGCGTCCTCGCAATTAATTTTCCGCTTCTTCGAAGACATCGATCATACATACGCGAATCGTGAGCCGCGCGATTAATGGCACAGGAATGCGTCCCCCGACCTCGATTAAAATTAATGTCAATAATATCGGCAGTCCGAGAAGTCGGCCCTTGCGAGATGGAGCCGTGGATCGTACGCGGACTGAATTATTAAAAAGATATATCGAAACGCATGTCATCTTGACTCAACATCCGCGCGTTTCGGCGATAGCTGACGGAATCGAGTATCGAGCGTTCGTAATGTAATGTAATTTACGTCGTTGCACTGTCTTTTATTACGCATTTGCATTCACAAATCCGTCTTTTCAATTTTTCTTTACGCGTGCGCATATTGGACATTTTTCTCATGAAATTAATGGTTTACAATTTATATAAAATTTAAGATTTCGTAATTTTGTAATTTTTATTTAGACTTGGGATAGTTTATTTTATAAAAAATGTATAGCTTGAAGATTTTACTTTTTTATGTACATTCAAGATGTACTTTGAAATCTTTGAGACTGTGTATATGCGAGAAAGAGAGAAAGAGAGAAAGAGAACGAGAGAGAACAATAATCAATCCAATATAATTTATTAAACAGTAATAATCGATATATTTAGCATCTTACTTACCTGTCCAATTGTGTCTTCGTTTTTGCAGCATAAGAGCAATTAGAACAGGGATATTGTTTCTCGATGTTGTCATGAACCAATCTTCGGTGGCTTTTTAATTCAGATGCGCTACGAAGAATCGTAGGACATCCCGGAAGTCCACACTTGTACTTTTTACCAGCGTGACGTAGTATGTGCTGTCGAAGGGAATGTCTAAATAAAAAAAACATGTATTATCATTATACATGTAAAATAATTTTTTTTTCTAAATTACATAGCTTTAAAAGGTACGTAGAACATATTTCCAACTATAAGTTTCGCTAATCACTCGCTAAAAATTTCTTCTTACATCTTGTATCACAAGCAGTAGATGTAAGTGAAAAACAAACGGTAAAATGAAATGTCTTTGCAACTAGAGAATTGAATGCGCTTTTAAAAAACAAAAATCACCTGACCTACTTTCTTTATAACAAAGAAACATAACAATAGTTTGAGACATAACAATAGTTTTGCTAAGAGATGCTGCGACGCAACTTGGAAACGCGTCGGTGGTTTAGGATTTTTGGACTATTGCTATCGGCGCGGCGTGTCGCGAATAATGATTCCGCGGTGGCGAGAGAGTCCTTTGGCGCTTTCGTGAAATTCACAAGCTGGTAATAAGACAGCACAATGGTCTCTCGCGTATGCTTGGTGCGCATCGGCTCGTGTAAACGGCCGATCGCAGCTGTTGCATCTTATATCAACTCGCCGCTGGTGGAGTGCAACGCACAGGCACCGCACTTTAAATAGTTTCTGTCAGGGGGGTGACGATCTATACGGTTAGTGAACTTGCTGTGTGTTGCGTTAAGTGAGTTAACAAGAAGTATCGAGGCCGGATCTAGTCCTGAACGTTGCCGCGTGCTTCGTGCCGCACGCGGAATTTCCCATCCTTTAAGAGCAGTGAAATACGCGAGTGCAATACGGCTGCTTTATAATTAGATGGAAACGAACATTCCGTTCTCCGCATCGTTTCGAAGCAACTTGAATTAGCAGAAGCCAAGCCGAGAAACTCGTAAATGCGATAAACACGTGGCGGCACTTTTAATTAACGGCCGACTCGCGATCGCGAACACGAGAAATGTGCATCAATCTGCTTGACCACTTGACACACCTTAAATGTGATGCGTGTCATTAATGCAAATTAATGCAAACATACATTTTTCTGACAAGATCAACCAAATAATTTTATTGTTTTAATATACAGACTCGTTTTATATGTTTGCCATTAATATGTCATAGGTTCATTCTAAATAGTTTTTTTTAGGAAAAGATTCAACATTTTATAAAAAGTTGAAGCTATAAAGATTCGGTTTTTTACATATATAAATCAAGTTCATAGTTTTAAAAACAAACATGTATACACATGTATAAATGTGTATAATTCGGCATCAAGCACAGTACATATGCGTGTTTTACAAAGAACTCCAAGCAGAGAAAGGTACATGTGTTTGTCGCAGAAATCTAATCCAAATGCTTTCGTAATATTATCAAAATCGCAACGAACACGGCGAGTCTCAAATCCCGACAAGTCGGAAGAAAGAGAACGAAGAACACGGACTTTCAAGATATCAACTCGACAATATAGGTACATATATCGGGGTTAATTCTCGGAGCTTTCTGAAGAAAAGAGAGAAAACGAAAGGAAGAGAAGAAGAAGAAAAGACTCAGAAGCCTATAAAGATTTTGGTCATCCTAGAGACCTGCTTATTCAATTGGCTACACGAGTATCTATATAACCCGCCGAGTTTTATAATAATCAGGATATACACACCCTCTCGCACGAGCCTACGGACACGAGCTTGCACCTGCGAGCCAGGTAGTCCGAGGTGAGCTGCGTGTCTGGACTCGTGGTGGATACCTGCGGTGCCTCCGTATGGAAACAGGTACGCTCTCGCGTGCTTACGCGAGAGTTTCGCTTGCGTGCGGGACAGTGAATAGAGAGGCGCAGAGGTGAGAGCCGAATAAAGATAAGAGTCAGAGACGTGTGATCTTACTCCGTCATATCGGATTTCGGACTTCCTCGGCAAAGATGTCTCGATTGGCTAATCCGGGATTGTATCGTGCGGCTTCTGTTCGCCGTGTTTCGCCGCGACCTTTTTCTTTTTACAAAAGTTATGACAGAAAATTAACTGAGAATTCTAATCGCACGTCGCAACGTGTTGCAGCGAAACTTTTTAACGTAAATATATGTGGTGAGAGAGAAGATGCAGAACATAGTTAATAAGCTATGCGACTTTTTAACAGTTCAAAAATTCATAGTTGCATAAAAGGCATCTAAAAAAATATATTTTTTGACATTTGAGATGTTGACAAGTTAGATCCGCGGAAACATGTTTATGATGCGGTTGTTTCTTTTATGTTATCTAAGAATCATGATCATTTATAATAATAATCCAAGCACTTTTTACGACGTACAACTAAAATATATTTTGCAACTCATTTTGTTGTAGATATATTTGTTATAGATATACACAACACAAAGTAATGTAAAAACGCTAAATGTTTACACAGATAAACAAATTTGCGGTAAAAGTGTGAGTGTATAAAATCTCACATTTTTCGTTATTCAGTGAAGATTCTTTAAAATACGCTCTGCGAAAATGTTAAACCCTGCTCAACGCTAAGCTGTTTGGCACCGTAATGTTTGAGGGTTTATGTCCGATGGATTAAACATTTTTTCGGCTGCTTTGATTATACGATTATTTCGATTGCATCTTTTACTTTTTTACATACATATGAACTCAGCATATGAATATCACCCCATGTATTTTATTGTTTGTAACTCTTAAAAAAATTAGAATCTATAAATTGACAATTGCAATAATTTATTTTTAATTGAAATATAAGACAAATCTGTACGTCAACGATACTTTTTTATTGTATAAATATAAAAAATGAATTTAAAGTTTTAAATAGAAAATTGTCTCGTATCCATAATATCGGGGACATTTTTAACAAGAAATATAAGTTAAGAACTAAGAGCTCAATTACAATTCCAAATAACCAATTAGAAGATATATCCGATCCGTAATACTATGAAGCAAGAACTTGAAGCAAGAATGTTTATACGCATTTTATTTCGTGCGACGATCGCGAGATTCATGAGGAAGAAGCATAATTTAGTTAGCCGTGGGGAAACGATTGTTTCTTGTATGTTCGTGGCACGTTTCATACACCACGGAAATAATAAAATCCTCGTTACAATCAAATCAAAAAAATTACTCGTGGATCGTTTCTTCGAAAGAAATTAATGACAAACGTGATTGTATCAAGGTTGCTATAGCAGTGGCCGCGATTCAAGATTCGCTTCATGAACGTCGTAATTGCGCTGAATTATGATAGTTGAAGTATCCGAAGACAAGACTTTTCCGGTGGATTGAAGTCGGCGATAAAAGTGACAGAGAGTAACGCGATATACATGTAAAGTCATATTTTCTCACATCGCGTTGTGACGCCTCGAGAGATATTTCTCTCATAATAATAACGCACTCTCGCAAAGGAGAACGCGAAATACATGGAATCTTACTTGGTATACGCATATAGTGCGTAGAGTATGTCAGTTTCCATGTATATACTATCAATTTCCACGAACAAGCTCATAAGTTTTTAATTGCTCAGCGATGTAAGAGAGAGACCCTTAATCTACTTGATATTTTTTTCGAGTATTTTTATATAAAAAAGAGAGAAGTGTCCTTCAAATTTTCTACAGGTGCAAAATCTTGCCTTAAAAATTCGCATACAATGAGACACGATGGAATGATACAACATTATATCACTTCCATTTGACAAAACATATAAAAGAGTACTTTAGACACCTGAAAGTTATAATAATAATCTGGCACAAGCGAGAGCAAGACGCAGGAGTCAATCTCACGCGAGAGCTCAGATCAAGCGAAAAGTGTAAAATGTACCGTGACCGTCATCCATATCGATCGCTCGGTACAGCCGGCGCTTGAATTATGACATTGAGAAATCTCGCGCGCGAGGCTAGGCGAACCAGCGCATGAGACCCCGCTGGAATTCTGATAGAACAGTATTAATATCGGCGCCGGTCGGAAGCGACGAGACACATTGATGCGAGAGCGAGAGACGACTAGATGAGGTAAAGAAGGAGGAAGAGGACAAGAAGACGAGGAAGGTGGAGGTCGAGTCTTCTCCGTCCGCGTTTTTCGGTGGAATGTCGCAGGCGTGACAAGAGGTCGTTAAGAGGAGCTTCGGATGCTCGATTGGGCAAGCGGATGCGGTCACCGGCGCGGCGGATGATTTAGCGCGCGACGTCCGCCGTCATCTCGTGAAATACGTACCGACCGCTATTTAAAAGTCTAATTCGTGTCGCCGCGTGATCGCCGTTACATCCACGTCGATAAACACTGACGCACGAGAACATTTTTTCGCGGAGAGAGAAACTCGTCCCGCGTCGTGGGGAGACAACCGCGATTTCCGGGCGGCCTCGTCTGGTCTCGACTCGCCACACCACGCGGACCACCGCCTCCTCAGGGTCACGCAATCCCTTCGGTGGATCGAGCGTGTCACCTTGTTGCCATTAAACGATTTGACGACTTTATAGCGCCTCGCGAGAATTTTTCAAGCTTTTTATTCTAGCCGGACCTTGTTGCAATAAAAGCCACGGCCGAAGCTTAGGTTTCGTTTTATCTCACGTGCTTTCGTCTTGATCGCGGCCACTTGGAATCGCACGTATCAAAGTGATGCAAACGTGTACACGAGTTGTCTTCGTGTCTCAAATTTGGGCTAATAGCTTTTAACCGACTTGTGAAATATGATTTAATATAATTCTTAATAATTTTTGAACGCAATAATGATGCAATTAGTCACTATAATTGATCGCATTTTATCATCAATATACATATATATTAGATATATTTTTAGATTGGGTATTGCAATGTAATTTATAATTTTGCGGAATATATAGGTATTTATTTTATTTGCTAAAATCTATTTCTCGCATATCGAACCATCATTATAAAAAATGTAACAAATTCTTCCTAATTGCCTAAGTCATGTAATTACTTTATCATCTCATATCATGTACGTATATCATATCAAAGTGGCTTGAACAAATTTAATATATACGTTAGCTGCAAGAATGTACTAAAGCGTATGTAAGTAACTATGATGCAATGAAAAAAATTGAATAATATTTATAGTTTCAAACG